ACTCACTGGCGGCTTATTTGACGAAAATACTCTTGTTATTGTAAAGGCTCTTTCTACGCCAGTCTTAGAGGTATTTCAAATAACAGCCAAATAATCAATCCTACATAGCCATGTACCACCATATTCTGCTGAGTTTAGAGTACAGGTCTTCTGCAGCACGGGTTGTGAAGTCAACTTCACTGGTGGCTTATCGGAAAAACTAATTTTTTTATAATCGAACCTAGCTCTATGTAATAAGATCAAAAGAAACACATCTATCTGCTCCAACAATCTCTATATGGTACTGTAAAGCAATGTGAATGGTAGTGTGGTTAGAGTAATGGTCTTGTAAACTAGGGGTCGTGAATTCACCCCGTGGCTTATTTGAAGAAAACTATTATTTCAGATTTATCAGCCTTCCATGCAAGAAGACTCAGAGATGAGACACAACCAGTCAGAAACGTCTTTAAGAGCACCACAAAGTTCCCCAGTACATACCTCTGCAAACCAGATGTGAGTTCAATCTACACTGGTGGCTTATTTGACGAATACAATTTTGTTATTGTCCACAGCGTTTCTTTTCTTTCTAAATGTCGTTAGAAGTATTTTCAGTCAACAGTCAACAAATCAACTGAGTTACGTCCCAGGCTAATCCATAGCCTATGGTTAGAACACAGGTCTTCTGCAAGGCTGGGTCAGAATTCAATCTCACTGCGGCTTATTTGTTCAATTTTATAATTGACAGCGCTTCTATGTAAGAAGACTTCAGATGACACAATCTTCAGCCGAACAATCTTTAAGAGCACTGTGTGCCACCTTTCCTCAGTGGTTATACCGTCTGTAAACCAGGGCCGTGAGTTCAATCCCTCACTTGTATTAAAGAAATCAATTTTTATTTACAATCGACAGTGTCTGTATATAATGAGCTTTATACCTTGTGTGAAACACACTCATCTGACCAAATGTCATTTAGAGTATTGTGTGCCAACACCATAGCTCAGTGGTTGTATACTGGTCTTAAAACCATATCGGTTCAACTTACCAGGCTTATTTGACGAATACAATTTGTTATTGTGCACATCGCTTAACTAGTCTTTAGAGATATTTTCAAATAACAGCTTAACAATCAACTTATTAGTCCCTGCGTACCACCATATAGCTCTGCGGATGGTTAGGAGCACAGATTCTTCTGCAGTACGCATGTGGAATTTAATCTTTTTTCTGTGTAGCTATTTAAGAAATCAATTTTTTTTATAATCGAAAGCAGGAAGCTAAGTCTTGAAAGAAACACGACATTCATCTGCCCAATAATCTTTTTTTATGTGGTGTGCTACCTATAGCTCAGAGGTTAGAGAGATTGATTCAGTAAAACTAGGTTCGAGTCTAACTTACTTAGTGGCTTATTTGACGAAATGATTATTCTAATGGACAGCTTTAGTGTAAGTTGCGATTCTCCGATGAGACATAATTCAGCTGAACAATTTTTCAGAATGCTGTGTGCTACCATACGTGGTTAGAGTACTGGTCTTGTGAACTAGGGTCGAGTTCAACCCCTCACTGCGGCTCTCAAAGAAAAAAAACCAATTTTTTTATAATCGACAGTGCCTGGGCAGCTTCATGTAATGAGCCTAAGGGCCCTTTGTGCGGAAACACACCCGTCCGACCAACAATGTTTTACACCAAAGCCAAATTACAGCTCAGTGTGGTTTATATCTTGTAAACCAGGGTCGTGGAAATCATCCTCACTGGGCTTATCGGACGAAAACTATTATTTTTAATGGACAGCGCTTCTAAGCGTAAGAAGACTTCAGATGAGACACAATCTTCAGCCGGTACAATCTATTCAGAGTACTGTGTGCCAACATATTCAGTGGTTAGAGCACTACTACAGGGTCGAAGTTCAATCCCTCACAGTTGCTTATTTGAATAAATCAATTTTTTTATAATCGACAGTGCTTCTATGTAAGACGTCTCAGAGTAGAGACACAATCTTCAGCGGAACAATCTTTTTAGAGCACTGCGCCATAGCTCAGTGGTTAGGAGCACTGGTCTTGTAAAACCAGGGTCGTGAGTTCAATCCTCACCAGGCTTATCGAAGAACCAATTTTTTTAATAATCGACAGTGCTTCTATGTAATGAGTCATGTTTGTGTGAAACACAGTCATCTGACCAACAATCCTTTTTAGTGTAACAGCCACTCATTGCTTCAGTGGTAAGAGAACTGATCTTGTAAAACCAGGGTCGTGAGTCTAACTACCAGGCTTATCGGAAAACTAATGTATAATCAGACAGCGCTTCGGTATGTCACAAGACCTGCGTGAGACACAACTTCAGCTGAACGCTTGTGAGCAACGTGCGCCGCCAGCCCAGGCGGCTGAATCGGTCCGAAACCAAAATGAACTAACCTCACCGGTATTTCATTTGAACCAACCTTTATACAATCGACACAGCTCGAAGACTCTGATGAGATACACCTTCAGCCGAACAATCTATTAAGAGTACTGTGTGCCATACCATAGTGCCTAGTGGTTAGGAGAATTGGTCTTAAACCAGGGATGGAGTCTAACTTACCAGGTATTTATTTGAAGAAATCAATTTTTTTTACCGAGCTAGCAGCTTCTATGTAATGAGCTTCTATGTCTTTTGTGAGAAACAGTCATCTGAATTCAACAATGTTTTAGAGTACTGTGCCATAGCCTAGTGGTAGAGTATTCGTAAACCAGGGTCGGAGTTCAACTTCTCTCATGAAGTTGCTTATCGAATAAATCAATTTTTTTATAATCGAAAGAGCCGCACAGACTCAGAGGACACAATCTTCTGAAGGAACAATTAATAGAGCACCAAAAAAGCACCTAGCTAGCACCAAGTGGCGGCTAGAGCAATTGGTCTTGTAAACTATTAGGGTCGTGAGTCCAACTTACTGGTGGCTTATATTTGACGAATTCAATTTTTTTTTATAACGACAGAGCTTTCATGTCTTTTGAGGAAACACATTCATCTGCCCAACTAGTCTTTTTTTTTAGCAATTACTTACCATAGCCTATGGTTAGAGCACTGGGTCTTGTAACAAGGGTCGTGAGTCCAATCCTTCCGGTGGCTTATTTGACGAATTACAATTTGGCGCTGTCCACAGCGTTTCTTTCTACAAGTCTTAGATGTACTTTCAGTCAACAGCTCCAATCAACTTACAGCCTGCTGCACCACCATAGCCTCATGATTATATACTGCGGCAATTCTGTTACGGGTTGTAGTCAATCCTCACTGGTGGCTTATTTGAAGAAATCAATTTTTTTTATAATAGACAGTGCTTCTATGTAATGAGCTTCTATGTCTCTGAAAGAAACACATTCATCTGCCCAACAATCTCTTTATGGTACTGCGTGCCACCATAGCTCAGAGGTTAGAGCACTGGACTTGTAAACCAGGGTTCGTGAGTTCAATCCTTACTGGTGGCTTATTTGACGAAAACGATTATTTTTAATGGACAGCGCTTCTATGTAATAAGACTTCTGATGAGACACAATCTTCAGCCGAACAATCTTTTTAGAATACTGTGTGCCACCATAGCTCAGTGGTTAGAGCACTGGTCTTGAAAACCAGGGGTCGTGTGTTCAATCCTGACTGGTGGCTTATTTGACGAATACAATTTTGTTATTGTCCACAGCGTTTCTTTCTAATAAGTCTTTAGAGGTATTTTCAATCAACGGCTCAACAATCAACTTAAAGTCCTGCGCACCACCATAGCTCTGCGGTTAGAGCACAGGTCTTCTGCAGCGCGGGTCGTGAATTCAATCCTCACTGGTGGTTTATTTGAAGAAATCAATTTTTTTTTATAATCGACAGAGCTTCCATATAATAAGTCTTTGTCTGAAACACAGTCATCTGCCCAACAATCTCTTTAATGTCCTGCGTGCCACCATAGCTCAGTGGTTAGAGCACTGGTCTTGTAAACCAGGGGTCATGAGTTCAATCCTCACTGGTGGATTATTTGAAGAAATCAATTTTTTTTATAATCGACAGTGCTTCTATGTAATGAGCTTCTATGTCTTTGAAAGAAACACATTCATCTGTCCAACAATCTCTTTATGGCACTGCGTGCCACCATAGCTCAGTGGTTACAGCACTGGTTTTGTAAACCAGGGGTCGTGAGTTCAATCCTCACTGGTGGCTTATTTAGAGAAATCAATTTTTTTTATAATCGAAAGAGCTTCTATGTAATAAGTCTTTGAAAGAAACACATTCATCTGCCCAACAATCTCTTTATGGCACT